TATATATATATATATATATATGTATTTCCATAAATCGTTCTCTTCAAATATAAAAAAATGTACTAAACACAGTATTCATTTTTATACAATAAACGGAACGAATAGCAATTTATTTCATCATGTTATAGTAAATATTTTGCTTAGATATTTTCAAATTTCTCAGAGATGCATAAAAATCCAAAATTTAATAAGGTAGTCACTGTACAGAGGGTTTGAATTTAACCGATCAATGTTTGAATCTATTTGTGGCATACTCGAGTCAGTTATTAAATACTAAAACGAATATTGGGAATATATAGAAAACACAGAAATTAATCCTTAATTAAATAAACTTATGTCACATACTTTTTTCATCAAAGCTTTTAGTCAATACAACAGTTTGTTGTAATAATTAGAATTGTAATAATGCATTCATGCATTTAAGGAAAACTTAAAGATATAAAAATCCACACTATGCATACAATATGTAAAAATATATAAAATATTCAAAGCAGAGTATTTATTATAACATTTAGCAGATGAAAGAAAATTCTATTTAAGTTCCATTTTCTTACGTATGTTCATAAAACAAATACATAAAAATTCGCAGTCTAATAGTAATTACATTATAATAATCATATTATAATGACTAAACTACGAATATTTACACACTTTAAACTAACTCTAACTAAAAAAGAAAAAAAAAACAATGGAATCTAAATGGAAATTTTTGTCTGCTAACTATTATAATATATCTATTTTGGATACAGTTTAAACAATATTTTTTATATATAAAAATAAATTTTTCAACATTGCACAGCCGTACATTTTTGTGTACTATATGCATTCTGTGGATTTTCAATATCTCCCAAAATATGCATAAAACATCTGCAAATTGTACTATACCAATTGAGGATCTTATAACAAAAAAATATTTACGTGTTACTTAAGTTCTTTTTAATGAGAAGTGATTTATATTAATTATTCCATATAAGCAAATGAAATAGAAGAAAAGGATGAAGGAGACAAAATATGAAATAAATGATTAAACGTTCTTTCTGTAACGTCTCTTTATATACTCTGTAGTTTCTCGCGGTCACCGTCGAGATTCTCGCGCGGCACTCGCGGATAACAGTGAGCGAATAATACGCATTAACGAGGTAAAACGCGATTGTTACATATATTAAAAGGATCACAGGGCGATGGGAACGACAGTATTATTTGCGTCTCCGACGATTATTCGCCAGCAATCATTTGCTGCTCCCAACGCAAAATACTTTAAAAAATATATATTCTGTCGCAGATTTTTATCCTACGTATTGTTCTTTTTGTCTTTAAATGAATCGCCTCTTATCTTGTTTACAGCACTTGTACAACTTTTCCCTTGAGTCATCGAATCGTCTCTTTTCTAATTGCTCGATTATCGTCAAGTTTAATTACCACTTACTCGCCGTTATACGTCTATATCTTAACGCCATGATTTCGTCAATGTTTTTTTTTTTTTTTTTTTTTAAATCGAGAATTTCTTGCAGAAAGAAACGAACAGCTATTGCTTCGCATGAAACTCGGTCGACAAAGTCGTTTGATGATGTCGATTACGCATTACGAAGAACTGAGACAACAATAGTGAAGGAGAGTGGCACAAAAACGTTAAAAGAAACTCGAACGAACTGGTTCGTACACCAGCCGTTACGTGATAAAAACGCAAC